TCTGCACATCTAATTCAAGTGTCTTTAGTGGTCATTTTGCAAAATTTGCTCCTTTTTTTCTAAAAAAATCTTTTTAATTCTGCAAAACATGAGGCAAAATATTCTTAATAGCCTGCTGAATAAGTGTGTGTGTGTGTGTGTGTGTCTCAACCATTTAGGGTTTTCTTTAAAAGATTTGTATCTTTCTGTAATGCTTAAGAATATCCTGATATATATTACTCTCTCATGGAGAAATATGTTGGAAGCTTACAAATCATCAACTAATTGTTTGCATTTATTTTTCATATTTTTATTTAGTTTTCAATAATATTGCTATTGGTTTTTTTTTCCTGCATGTTTCATTTCTAGTTGTTGGAACTGTATTGGTTTAATTTTATTTTTCATGCTTGCATAATTATTTCATTGTTTTTCTCTAGAGTTCTTTGAGTTTATCATTATTACTGTTAATAATGTTCTTAAATGTGCCTGATGCTGAGAATCTTCCTCTTTCTGTACAAATATTCTTATAAGGCATGCTTCCCCTTTCAGCTACAATATGTGTTAGCTTCACGGAAAATAAGTTTATTCTGAAAACAATTGATCAGATTTTAAGGAGGATCTAATGGGCTTTAAGGTTAATGCTTCAAAGTCACAATCTTATACATCCTCAATACTTTACTGACTCATCCCTGACCCTGTCTCTCTTGCAAAATACTGAAAATGCTCTAGTCCATTTTATTCAGTACTCTCAGTACATATGGTAAATCTGTTTTCTAAAAATCCTCCCTTTGTCTGTAGTTAATACAAAGACATGTCCTACTGTCCTGTCAATCTATTAAAAAAAATCCAGACAATATATAAGTTTAGATAAAGGAAATGAAAAGAGTTTAAACAAAAGACTAACCAGTCTCTCAGTTTTTGAAAACAAAAAAGCTCAGAAAAACCATTCTGAGCTTTATAGTTTACAGAAGAAAACCTGCCCGGGCACAATTTATCACCTTATTATTTAAACAGATAACTTTTCTTTTCTCAAAGATGATTTTTTTAAAAAGGCAACTGGACTGTTTTATTTTTTTTTTCCTTGAGGAAGAAGAAAACGTTTCACTTCTCATCCAAGAAACTTCATTGGTTCTGATGATGGAGGGATGGAAAGATAGGTATCTATCAGTAAAAAAGAAATCAGGGAAAAGAACAGTCCAGTTGCCTTTTCAAAAAGCACCTTTGAGACAACTAAGATCTAGATGACTGAAAATCTCCACAGACAGATAACATTTCTATTATTCAAGTAGATGAGAACACAAACAGTCCTCAAATCACATCATAATGCTACCTCTTCACACCAAACAAGAAGATACAATCTGTCATAAATGTTTATGCATTACTGGGATTCCTTTTTATCTAATACATAGCAAATATTAAAAAGAATACTAGTAGAGTATTGTTGTCTTGTCTTGATTACGGATTTTAAGATCTGAGGGTTCTGACCCTCTTAGCCTTCTGGAAAGTGATTAAAAGCTGGCTTTTTCTCCAGATATTAGTGTCAGGATGTTAAAGGTGCCCAATATATCTGTTTCAGTTTTGTGAAATTGATATAGTGTCTTGGTTTTTCTTTTTTGTCCCGAATCATTTTAATGTTGGTCTTAGAATTGTGAGATACACGTTATCAACATTAAAAATTATATGTGTCTATATAAGCAAATAGATTGCTTACCACCCAGAGTAGATCGGTAGTGATATATATTTTCAATAAATAAATGTTTTCATTTATTACTCACATCATTCTTGTTTTCTTCCAAATATATTTAAGGGGCATTTTTGGGGTTGCTAATGATTTTAGATTTTGGAGCCCTCTTAGTAGAATACTTAGGAAGGACGCCAAAATGTAGTAGGAATCATTTCCCCAGTCTAACGATTTCCAGATAGCCTTAAATTATAACTCTCAGAATATCCAATCAGTATGGCCAATCCTCAGAAGTTTGTAACTGCAACATTTTTGGAAAAATTGGGTTGGAGACATCTGGTCTAAAAAGTGGGTTTCCCTTCCCCATTATATAATTAAAACTGAAATCTAATAGATATACCACTGGGTCTTTTGGACTACATAATTTTATTTTCATTCTACATAAAGCAGCATTTACATACAGTGTACTGTACATAGTCCTCACTAAATAAATAGCCAGCAGTTTTGACTCTTAAGGAGTTCATAAAATGCATAGAATTTAAAATGCGTATAATCCCCTCTGGAAAATTAACAAGGAAGTTCATGTGCATGTGACTTAATGACATAACACTGAAAAATAAATGGAAAACAATACAATTTAGGAAGTTGTCTGTGTAACATGAGATATTTACGATATAGAAGTGCAACAAGGTTGCACTTAGTACGTCAAGGCTACATTTACTAATCTGTATTTATAACTCAGAAACACTTCCTTAAGGATCATATTGCTGATTAGTACAATTGCTAGATTTATCAGCCTGTCTTTCATGAAATGGAAAGTGTTGATGAAAGCTGCAATATTTCAGACATCGAAAAAGAGAAGTTGTGTGGGTGGTACATTTAGGTTTTTTTTTAACCTTTTGCTATGATCATTTAAAGAATTAGTGACTTGGGACTTTGTAAATCAGACAGCTGAAAGAAGAGTGTTGATTTGTAGTGCAAGCGACTAATCACAGATTCTGCTTACTGTAAGTTGACTATAAAGGATTTTCTTGCTTCCTTATCCTTGCTATCTTTTGCTGTACTCCAAATAGATAATTCAGAACTGATTATTTATGGAGAACTAAGGTCCATTTAATCTATTATTTCATCAAAATTTTGAATTTTCCTTCCCCTTTTCAATTCCTTGCATTGTTAGGAACATTTTAAAATATGAAAGGAAATGTACCTAGCAATTTTTTCCTCCAACCACTTTTACAAAAATAAGAATGTTTTAAATCCTTTAGTGGCACCTTCCAGTGGCACCTAGATAATATTAGCCCTGGATTTAATGGTTTTCCAAGGGTTCCTTCTAAATACATAGTTATTTTACTTGTATAGCATTAAAATAACTTGGGAATAAGAACCATTTGTTATAGATTATATATTTGGAAGAAGAAAAACAACCAATTTAATAAACAGCCATAAGTATGTGTAGATTCATGCAAACAACACCTAATTATGAACCACTTGAAGCCTTCCAGAAGTCATGTGATCCTGAAATTAATTGAATGAATGAATGAATGAATGAATGAATTTATTAAGCCTTAGACAAACATGCACTGGCAAGATAAGTTTCTGCAATATCACTATGATGTTGACTTCAACTTGCCAAGCACCTATGAGTGAAATAGGCTTAAATTGTTTACTATACTCTGATTCCATCTAAGGACAGCGTCAAGCTGGGTCAAATCTTTCACATTTTGTAATGGATTATCCTGAAAGAACATGCGTTGAGCGGTACTGAAAATAGAGGTGTTTAAGAATGAGAAATGAGCAGATTCTGAGTCAAGTTGATTTCTGCTAATCCAAGGAGGGGTGGATAGCACTTTATTTCAGCAATATGGAAAAACTTTCATTGTTTAAAAATAAGAAAGATAAGATGCTGCAGTGACCATTAGCAGTTTACCCATATTCCTATGCTAACAAAGGTTCTTATTACTGAAATCACTGCTGTTATCTAGGCCAGTGGTCTCCAACCTTGGCAACTTTAAGACTTGTGGACTTCAACTCCCAGAATTCCTCAGCCAGCCAAGGTTGGGGACTTCTGATCTAGGCCACTAGTTACCCTCTACTCACCTGGTGACTGCCTGATTTGCAGAGAGGGGCTTGGAACTCATTATTGAGATCCAGCCATAGCTGCTTGTTTGTTCCTAAATATTTTAATCAATCCACTCTAATAATTAATTTCCACTGGAAACAACAAATATTTAGTTTTCTTTTTCTTCCTGATACAACGTTTTATTGTACATTTGATGACGACTGATATGCTACTTCAATCTTAATCTTATTTCTTTCATATTTCCACATAAGATTTTCATTTTTGAACCTTTACCATCCCAATATTACTGATGTCTTCTTTCTTACCTCTTAATAACCTCTCCTAAAAGATACGGAAATTAAAATGGTTCTTACCTGTTTCTGGGTATTTATAGAATCCTGAATTCAAATCATATACAGCACTACATTAACACAATTTAATTTTACCTCAGTTCCTATTTAAATCTGAATTTCTATAATCTATCCTAATTTTTCCCATTTCCCATTGCCTCTAAATTCATTGTTACCTGGTTTTCTCCTCAGTACTGTATATTTGCTCAAGTTCTTCATATTACAGGTATCATTCTATTAATTTTCGGTCTGTTTTCAGACCAAGCTCCAAAGTATTTGTTTTAGGACTGATTCTGATTGTGTGTCTTTGTGTGTGTGTGTATGTGTGTGTGTGTGTGAGAGAGAGAGAACTGCATTTTTCTGTGCATACAAACATATATTCCAAAATATATGTTTTGTATGTTTTTACATGTATTTTTCATCTTTTAACCCACAGTATAGTGATGAATTTGTTGATTACTGTAGATAAATATAGGTCTGATTCTTGAAATTTGATTTAACACTTATTTGCTATTTCTATGTCAATTACATAATATCTTTCAAACAGTAATTTTATATTTTTGAAGTCTATGTTTCACCAATGTTTTAATTAACCATTAACTAAACACATTTAGTACAGAGTATTTCTACAGAGGTGAAAAAATAATAATTGAGGGAGGGGGGCTACATTATTAGGCTGCAACAATTGGTATATTTGTCTACAATCTTACCCAAATTAGCCTTGTGCATTCTGGTGCTCTCTGCATGTATTAAACTGTATCTTCTAAAATTCCCAACCAGCATGACCAAATTTGAGATGTATAGGAAATGCAAGCTACAAATCCAGATGTCACAAGGATAATGACATTAGGAAAGGGTGAATTATACCATTTTTACTTTTGCTTTTATTTTGCTTTTTGTAACTTCTTGCTCTTTTGTTGCCTCTGTTCAGGTAAACTGAAGAAATGATGCATACGCCAAAGACTGAGCCAAAATTGTTCAGCTTAAAGGGATTTTTCTGGCTTTGTCTCTTTAAGCTTCTGCATAGTGATTCAGGTAAGTCAGTGTACATCCTTAAACATAGAAGACCATCTCTTGATCTACCTTGCTTGTTACCAATTAGAATGGTATATAGCAGTGGTGGCGAACCTATGGCATGGGTGCCAGAGGCGGCACTCAGAGCCCTCTCTGTGGGCACGTGCGCCGTTACCCCAGTCCTAGGCCTTCAGCTGGGTTTTATAAAACCTTTTCGCTTTAGGCCTCCGCCGCCGTGTACAAAAAAAAAGGTTCAATCAATCAGTCAACTTCAGCTTCTTGCGGGAAAAAAAAAGATCTTGCAAAGTTGGAATTGATTGATTGAACTTTTTAGTCCCACCCAGTCTGCTGTTACCACCACGGCCATGCCCACCCAATGGGCCACACCCGCCCAATGGGCCACACCCACCCGGCACCTGACGATGCATAAGTTGGTTTTGGGTTGCAGTTTGGGCACTTGGTCTCTAAAAGGTTCGCCATCACTGTTATATAGAATTCTATATAGAATATAGAATGGCTATATACATTTAGAAATGGCCTCAGCTTTTCTTCACAGCAGTAATTCATTACCACTTAGCAATGAACATCTAAGAACTAGACAGAGGAATCACTTCTAGAGTCAGAAAGTTCCTGTCTGAATTTCACCTTTGCTGTGAAACTGCCTAATGAACAGGACTAGGCATAAACTGACATCAGGTACTAGGTAAGCCAATCTCTTTCAGCTTCCACTTACAGTATAGGGATGGGATTTGGGGACCTGCCCAGGTTCTTAAACAATATTTCATTTATGTGAGAAATGCAGTGCCTCAAAAAAATCAGCCATAGTACAAGAGGTTTGAAAAAGAGTCATGGTAATTATGGTTTGTGGGTTTGTTCTTTATTGGTTGGTTTGCTACATTAAATGTAGCTATGAATGAATATATATATATATATATATATATTCAAAATTTGGATTGCTAACAAAGAATTAAGGGAGTACTGGGATAGCTATTTCTAAACTTATTTGGTTTTCATCAGCCAGACATACCCTTCCGAGATTCGAACCTGGGCTGTCTGCATGTTAAGCAGAAGTGTTACCCCTAGGCCACAGGTTCTTTCTCACTTTGTTAGCTACAAGAGACAGGGGAAGAGGATGAGTGCTTTTTTTTTTGAACACCCTGTCAGCCCAAATATGGGAGAGAGAGAAGTCTTTTGCCTGCATCAGCTCAATCCAGAGCCATCCACAGGCAGCAGTCGCTTAACTGCGACATCATATGTGTTTTCAAAATTTGGATTGCTAACAAAGAATTAAGGGAGTACTGGGATAGCTATTTCTAACCTTATTTGGTTTTCATCAGCCAGACATACCCTTCCGAGATTCGAACCTGGGCTGTCTGCATGTTAAGCAGAAGTGTTACCCCTAGGCCACAGGTTCTTTCTCACTTTGTTAGCTACAAGAGACAGGGGAAGAGGATGGTGTTCGAATCTCGGAAGGGTATGTCTGGCTGATGAAAACCAAATAAGGTTAGAAATAGCTATCCCAGTACTCCCTTAATTCTTTGTTAGCAATCCAAATTTTGAAAACACATAAGATGTCGCAGTTAAGCGACTGCTGCCTGTGGATGGCTCTGGATTGAGCTGATACAGGCAAAAGACTTCTCTCTCTCCCATATTTGGGCTGACAGGGTGTTCAAAAAAAAAAGCACTCATATATATATATATATATATATATATATATATATATATATATATATATATATATATATACACATACACATACATACATACATACATACATACATACATACATACATACATACACACAAAACAAAATTCTTTGGTAAAAAAGATTTTCTCAAATGATTACCATTCTGTCAGGGACAAAGAATGGGAACCACACTTTAAGGTCCAATAAAACTCATACCTATTCACAAGAATCTAGTCAGCACTAAACTGATATAAGATAAGAGTTAATGAAATTCAAGAGGGGCTGGACTTGGACTGCCTATGGGAACACAACCATTGTATTCCTCTCTTGACTCTGACCCCGGCTGTGTCTCTCTTCTCCTACACTTTCCTCTGTAATTATTTTTTTATGTAAAGAAAAAAGATTGAAGAAGCAATGAGAACATGCAGAAGGTTACAACAGATAATGTCTAGAAGCATCACCTCCACTAATTGCATCATTGAGGTTCTTATTGTTATGATGTAAGAGTCATTGGATATGAGATGGGCAACAGATAAATTTGAATGAATGAATAAATGAATGAATGAATGAATGAATAAATGAATGAATGAATGAATGAATGAATGCAGGGGAGTTGAAATGCACAGGGTGTAAGATTGCACCATGTATTGACAGGATCAGGATTGTCTGTTTTTGTCCCGTTTGAAAAGAACAGTGTATATTTGATTGTGATTATCTTTTTCAACCATGCAAAAGGTGTTTGAAGGCATACACTACCTTTCAGTTGAATTTCTCACTTCCACAAACTAGGAAACAATTGTATTATTGAAATTAATTATTTTCCTGAGAGGCATTCTGAGTACAGTGGGGGAGGGGGGAAGATGGGGACTATAGGTTGCCAATTTTAGCAAGGATAATTTGCTAATGGTCTTGAAAGAAGTCTTACCTCATTAATATACTGGAGGTTTTGATAGTATGAAACAGAGGTAGGCAAACTGTGGTCTGTGACACTATTCTTTGAGATCCTTGGTCCTTCATCATGAATGCTGAAATCTGAAGATAGAGTTTTCCACCACAATGAGAATAGGAAGCGGAGAAAAACTGAAAGGGGAGCCATAAAGTAGACACATAAGATTTTTTTAAAAAATCAAGAAAACACACAAAAATTCCTGTAAATCACAGTGCCTCCTACTTGGGTAGTATGAAGCTACCCCACCCTCTTTAAAGCCATCCTCCTCAAATCACTTGTTAACAGCCTTGGGGAAGAATCAGATTCTGTGGCAGAATGAACAGGAAACAGATTAAAAATAAAACTGCTTGTAAAGCCTTTTGTGTGGATGGATACAGTAGAATTTGGAATTCCCACCAGTTTCTTTTGGATTCATCCAATTAACTGACAAATGTCAGTAATTACCTATTTACGTTATCTCGTGATGGTAGTGGGCATCCTACCATAGTACAATGTTCTAGCTATTCAGTCCTTAAAAGGAAACCATAGGGCTAGAAAAGTTCTGTAGCTAAAAAGATCAAGAGCTTCAGACATTTCCCAGGAGGAAATTTAAAAATATTTGGTCTTTTAATGTAAAAAAAGATGACTGAGATAGAACATGATAGGAATTATCTATGCATGATAGGGAGAAAGAATCGAACAGACTTTTCCAGTTCTTGTAATATACAATGAAAAGCCTCAAATGAACAAACTTGTAAGAATAGAGAAATTACAAGAAGAGGGAACATGAAGAGATGATTTAGAAAATATGGATCTTTTCTCTTATTAACTCAAAGATGTAGGAGTAGCAAACCTATGTGGATGGATCTTATAAAATTGTGCATATCCCAATTCATTGAATAACCTTAACAAATTAGTATCATTTACCCCTCTTCAGAGTTTCAAAATGGTTATATTTTGTCATTGTTCTTTTCTTGGGATGAACTTAAAGAACTTCCTCCAGTAACTTCTTATAAAGATTAAAGATTATAAAGATTAATGGTTTGTAACTACTTTGTAGTTGCAATCTAAATTATTTTCAATAATAATATCTCTAAAGGACCAATGTAATTAAACAATTTTCTCATTACCTTAATTTTGTCTAGTTGAGGAAGCAAGAAAATTGGACAGATTTGTTTTTGTTTTCAATATGAAAATAACTCTGTAATTTAAGCCTGCATAATTCTGAAGAAAACAGTGATTCAAATGGTCATTTCCCATTCTAATATTTTATAAATATTACCAATTGTACACACAAAACTGTTAGTATGTAACTCAGATTACCTTTATGGATCAAGATGGGGAAGTAAAAATAAAAGGAAAAAAAGAGAAAAATCAACGAAAATAACTGCTCAGATGAAGTAGTAATTAAATTATGCACATAATCAGTTCTGTAAAACCCATATTAACATTAATAGTATTATTAAAACTGTATAAACACACTAATATAATGTACAAAAGCTTTTTTAAACTTATTTTTAAATAAGACTTTACAACTCTTCTGAAAAAATGCTGAACTCATATTTTAAAGGACCAGAAACACAGTTAAAATGTGCTGGTAAGTTAAGACAATGTGATAGTTCATTACATGAAATATTCTCAGGAAAAGTAGAAAGAGACATGCCAATTCTTTACTCACCAAGTCTTTGTATCCATGGAACAACTTGGGGGGGGGAAGCTATTTTCCCAGATTTTCCTGAGTCTGACAGCTTGCCATGCTATTAACAGATGTAAACGATATATCTTAATATCTACATTTAATATAAACAGCTTACAAACATGATGTACCTTGAAGCAACAGAAAAAGGACACTCATGGGCTGAGAGAGAGAGGGGGAGAGAGAGAGATAATTGAAAGAAGCAGATGCTACTTCCAACCAAAATAGAATGACCTTGGAAAACAGTGCCAAAGGAAAGGGGCGGCATGTGTGCAGCAGCCATAATTGAATAACAGGAAGTGGGCAGATCCCAATCCCTGATCACATTGTCAACCATATTATTTTACATCATATCCATAGTAAAACTGATTTCAGGAAACGAGGGGTGACATTCCTTTAAAATTGGAACAATTGAAGATGGCTTTAAGTTGCCTTGATATGTCACACAGTTATTGCACTATGGTTCATATAGTATAGGGGAATGTGAGAATATGCCTTTATATCCAAGAAATGGAAAGAAGACTGGCTAGTCAATTCTCATTATGAAAAAAAAAACAAGAAGTGGAGAAGATATGTCACACAGTTACTGCACTATGGTTCATGTGGTATAGGGGAATGTGAGAATATGCCTATATATCCAAGAAATGGAAAGAAGACTGACTAGCCAATTCTCACTATGAAAAACAAAACAAGAAGTGGTTCTACCTTTA